CCAGTGCTCGGGACATGCCTTCGCCATTGTGCAAGCTACCAATGGGAATATCCTCACCTGGCGCTGCTCAGATTGCAACTCCGGTCCGTTTGTGGCTATCTGGCGGTGCAAGATATGTGGTCATTGTCGTTGCAACGCATGTCATAACGCCAAAGCCTAGGTACTAGACATCCACGGCGTCGTGCTGGACGGCTAGGCTCTCATTCGAACAAGTCAGGTCTGTGGAATTTGCTGATAGGATGCTTAGACCATTCTCGGGTCACCTCAGGCAGTCAACTCGCACAAGATCAGCTGCTTACCCGTCAAATAGCATAATCTCAAAACCGTCAGTTGACTGTCCTTCACGGATGTTCGCTTCTTGTCCGATTGGCTGGCGATTGTGATACTCACCTTGCGCGAGGCTTCTCTGACCGGTCCTAGTCGGTATCATGGAAGCACACATAATATCGATCGAACTCCTCAGCTCTCTACTTAATGACGTTTGCAAAGACACGATCCAATCCTGCTGTTTTTATGGGCTGTTTTTTCAGCACTGTATCGTTACTCGGTGGCAGGTTCAGCGACAAAAGCTTAAGTCTTTGTCTTTTTACTTCGATTTCTCTCGATGGGCGCTTCACTGCATGGCATACAGGTGGCTATCTTTACTTTTGGTTTTGTTATCTTTTCAGTTTGGTTGCTTGGCCAGACTGCTCTTACTTGATTTGTTTCCCTGGGAATGTTAAATAGAGAACATACATAGACTCAGGCAACTGACGCGGCAACGCACCTCATTACACCATTTCAGACTCTCGTTCTAGGAAATAATACTTTCATAACACCTTAATCCAACAAATCATCATCGTAGATCCCTTGGGATCAGGTCTCGTGCCCATTGACTTAGTTTGATGTGATAGTCTGTACCACTCGAAATACATCGTGTACAACCCAGCCAAGCTTGAACAAGGACAAGGGTCCAAGGCGTTATCGCCGTTGGTTGGATTGTAAATCCATATCATACACCCTTGTGCTATCGTTGAGTCATTGCTTCTTCAGGGATTGCGTACTATGCTGTGTGCATCCTGGAGTTAACCGGTGGAGGTATGGAGTCCATGACGGCCAATAATACTCGTTTTTGTGTCTCTGATCGGTGCTAGTGCTACCTGGATTGGTTGATTAGAACGAGGAATCTCTGAGAAGTATGTTCTTAACATAGATATCAATAAATGTTCTATGTGTGACAATTTCCTGATTGATGCACAGGTGGACTGGAAGTGTATCTTTATACGCCGGTTCCGACATCGCAGATAACCTGACCAGATGTGAGGCTTTCTTGAGGTGGTATCAATGCTGCCATGTTGTTAGTATTGTTGCTGCTTTGGTAGCTCTTGTTATTATTGCTGTTGCTTGTTGCTGTTGCTGCTGATGCTGTTGATGTGCTGCTGCTGCGCTCAGCTGCTTTTGCTCGTGAGCGAAAGGGCAAAGAAGGGGACAGAGGAATATGAGGTTTGACGACCCCAGATTCTGGATCTTCAATGTAGATCCTTCCATCATTTGCAACGCCCGACTCGAGCTTCATCCGGGGTAATGAGACGAGCTCATTTCACAATCGAGTAGCCAGAAGCCTTAGCTCACGCACTGTTTCTTTGGAATTGTAGTCTGAGACCGCTCGTCCTTCTCGAGGTTCCGGCTGAGGTGGTAGCTTTCTCAATACCGCGTTGATAAAGAATCGCGGCGGACTGCTGGGACTGGTTCGTAATCGGTTTGGTCTGAGGCTGACCGTCCTTACCGAAGGACCACTGCACATTCCGAAAAACATCGAAGAGAATGATACAAGACTTGTCTTGGGCAGTCAACGGAAGGGGATATTTCGCTGCGACCTGTTCGACAGCGCCACGCACATTTCAAGGTCCTCTTCGAGCGATGTCCGAGTGATGTATAGATGTGAGTCCGTACATGTCCATCAGTGATATCAATACTGTCCCCCATTCCTGCCTATGGGGCTTATTCAGCTTCCTGACTATGTCACTGATTTCCGCCTTCGTCTTTTTGAAGTCCTCTCCCGCTTCCTCTGCTGCGGCTTGCAGCTCCTCGATGGCTTGTTCATGGCGGAGAACTTAAAAATAAAGCATAAAAAAAACGACACAAGCACGATCACTGTGCTCTTCGAAGAAGAGCTGGCGCTCCGCCGACACTCTCTTGAGTGCATGTCGGCGGAGCGCCACACCTTTGCTGCCTCTTCTAAGCCTCTCTGGGCCTTCTCAACTGCTTCTGTGGCTGCCTTGCGCTTCTTATGCGCCTCCTCCTACTCCAGCTTTGCTGTGGCCCACTCGCCATCTAGCTTTGTGAAATGGAGCTTCTGGGTGGGTGTTAGATTAGACTGTGCTTTGGCACCCCCAGCCCTCTCTGGATTGACTCTGGCAATTCTGCCAGATTGACCCCTACTGCGTCAACCTAGTAAATAATATTGATTAGTTACTGGTATATACATCTGTGTATAGATAATATAAACTTACAAGGTGAGTAAGCTTCTGGTGCTCATCACGCCGGATGTCTTCTTCGCGCTTCTGCTTCTTTGTTGGCTGAAGTTAAGGTTAGTTAACTGACCTGTGTAGTGTATTAAGAATACCCACAGGACCAGAGGGGGCTGGGGGGGCCAGTGAGAGCAGGAGGTGGCAGCTTGGGCTCCAGCCATGCCTGGATGCCCTCCGGCACGAGGACACCTCTCTCGGCCATCTAGCATATTAGCCACAGACGTTTCCTGCTTAGAAAACAAAAAATATCACTGCGGAACATAGTACTGGCGCCGCTCCAGCGATGATGCCTTAACAGCAGCATCAGCTGCCATCCACTCTTGGTCAGCTTCATCAAAGGCCTTCTTAGCCGCCTCCAGAGCCTCCTTCGCCTCCCTTCTCTTCCTCTATGCCTCCTCCCGCACCCGCTTCCGGAGCTGGAATTCCTAATGGAGTTCTTCGACCTGGAGCAGCTGGGCCTTTGTTAGGTTAGGCCGCAGCTGGCCCTGCTGAATGTCCTCCGGCACGAGGATACCTCTCTCAGCCATCTAGATAATATTAGTCACTGATATTTCCCTTATTGGATTATAAACCTCCCTCGCGGCAGAGGTCCTGGCGCTCCTGGCGCCGGATTGCTTCTTCCCGGCGTTTTTTCTTGCTCGCCTAGAATCAAGATTAGGCCCATAGGCTTTGTAAAGCAGAGGGCGGCTATTGTGGGCTATTGTTGTCGCTGTTGCTGGTACTTCTAGTGTCTCATACTGTTAGCAAGTCATCTACTTAAATTGTATATGCGGAGAAACCCGAAGATCCATGGTATCATCGGAAAAGTGAACATGGATCTCACCTATTTTGACCATCCATACAGGTCCGTCAAGAAAGTATAAGTCATCCCGAGAGTCCCGCAGATGAACCTGCAAAAAATTGACTCTAATCGAGTGAGGGCCCTCTGGCTCCATGGATATGAAGAACGGAAGATGGAGAGCGGAGAATCGTGGGGGAGACGATGGTATTTGTCTCATCTGTCTCGTTTCGATCTGCCATTGAATGACTGGTTCAAGGTCCTTACAGTGAATGAAGATTATTGAAATTCACTACTCTTAAGCGCTACATACCATTGACTACAGTGAGCATTGCTGAGGATAGTGAATGTCATTCTCAGTTGGTGAATACATTTCAATAGATCCAAGACATAGGGGAGACACAAGGTGAGACACACTGACGAGCAAGCCACGAGTCAGTCGCCTAGACTAAATAAACTGAGGAAGTAGCTGGATACTCTACGGTGTTACCAATCCTACCCATCTCTATAAGAAACTGGGGACCAACTGCCGCGTCAGGGCTGAAATGGATGATGCAACAATATTGGCCGAAATTTGAGTGCAAGGGCCAAATCAGGTATATCTATTCATACAAAATACCATCACTTTGTTACTATACCTCGGAGATAACCTCAGCATTGTTAGATGAGAATAGGGGACTCTGAGGCTACCTGGTGTGATATTATGCATCCAGAATGTCAACGCCCGGATTCGCGATGTATTTGAGGGCTGAGGCCAACTTCGCTTCTTTGCTTGTAGGACCTTTTCGGACGAACATTGTGCAATATCTCTTCATAAAGCTAATAGAGCTCCCATCATCAGAGGGATGGGCCGTATGGCTCATAACTTCTTTGACCGCAGCCCATCGTTGGGCCAAGCGGAACTGACCGCACAGATTATTACACGACTGGGGTGATGACAAGTCTGTGAAGATTCTGCAGGTGCTGAATTCAGTCCGAAGTGCGGACTAATCTATCCTGGTTGATGGACATAGGGTGCATTGGTATTGAGAGTGGCTGGTCCTGCACATGTTGGGGCTCCATGAGTGCACATAGAGCCATTAGCGGGCACTGCTGATTTGGGAGGATCTGGAATCGGCCGTATCCTGCTGACGCGACACTTGATTATCATAGACTCGCTGATAGATATATGTGGGATCTAACGTTGGCTATGGGCAGAGAATGAAGCTTGGGGTCCATGCATGGTACTTGAATGTTGATTGATGGCGGGGCGTAAGCACTAAAACTAGTTGCTTTTTGGTGCTGCGCAGTGTGTCTATCATTAGTCTCTAGTTTAGAGTATTGGCTAGGCTACAGCGGCCTTAGGATTGGAGGCAGAGGCGGAAAATGGGTCAATCGAGTCATTTCTCTGTTTATCTGGACTCTTGAAACTCTATTGTTTACAAGCAACTGGCTAATAGGCTCAACATTCTCACGTAGACCATCCGTCTTGATAATCCTGCAATTTTGTGGCTTATAAACTTGCTCCCTAATTCCAGCCTTGCCCAGATCGGAGTCCAAAAAGGGCATCGCAGCCTAGAGCTCTCTTCCCGACTTACATACGTTCTTCTCATCTATTTTTGTACTTATACTTCTTATTCGCTTCAAACCTTCGTCGAAATGTCAGCGAATATTCAACCGCTTAGCTAAACTCACCTCCTAACATTGTCGTATTCCCATTAACAACACCCACAATGGCCGCCAAATCATCCCCTCTCATTACTGTCTACCGCGGCTTCCCAGAGACCGGTTGCTACATCTGGTCCCCCTTCGTCACAAAGCTGGAGGCCCGTCTCCGTTTCGCCAACATCCGCTACCGCACCGAACAAGGCTCCATCCCCAAATCTCCCCGCGGCAAGGTCCCCTACGTCTCCATCCAGGATGGCGAGCAGCCGCCGCAGACGCTCTCAGATTCCACTCTGATCACCAAGGCGCTGATTGAGGAGGGGTACACAGAGGATCTGAACCAGCACCTGTCTCCGACTGAGCGACTGCATGACCTGGCGCTCAAGGCATTGCTAGAGGATAAGTTGCCTCCTTATCAGGTACGAATCGCATCATTACGCAGGACAGTGAAGAGATTAATCTGAAGAGGGAAAGACCTACGAGCGATGGATCCTAAATTTCTACACCATGCGGTCCAAGATCCTCGCGGCCCTCCCCTGGCCCGTCCAGGTCGTCGTCGGCAACATCATCTACCGCAAAGTCACACGCAATCTCCAAGGCCAGGGTACTATGGCCTTCACTGAAGATGAGATCAGTACGTTCCGGCAGGAAATTTGGGCGAGTCTGAATGCGGTGGTGGCGGAGGCGCAGGCGAAGCAATCAGATCCGGACAGGCCGTTTTGGGTCTGGGGTGGAGAGGGGCCGACGGAGGTGGATGCGGTGCTGTTTGGATTCATTGTGTCCGGGTTGGTGTGTGCAGCGTGAGTACTTACTCCTGCTTTGATTGCCTGTGACGTACTGATATCTTGGCCAGCGCACCGGCCTCAAGGGACGTTATCAAGGGTTATCCGGCCCTGGTCAATTATGCGAGACGGATCCATGATAAGTACTTTCCTGACTATCAGCTGTGGGAGTAGTGATCGGTATATTCGTTTTAATACAAGGAGTTGATCTCTTGCGCTCTCTTGCAGTATCAGTGGTGGAAGTATATGAAATGAGTGGCTCAAATCTGCCTCATGATATGCCGACATTTTTCATGATTGGCTCTTTGTCCGTCGCATTAAAAACCTGCTATATTCACATGATAGTAGCTTTTGCCGATAGAGCTGTATCTACAATGCTGACATGGATGAATGTACAGCTATACAGCCCCTATCCTGCTCGCTTGGATAGTCATCAAATGGCATCAAAGTCATGATTGCAACGAAGTACTCCGCTATTGGGATAAAGATAGAAGACGATTAGGTATAAATGCTCTGCAACAAGATTAGCAAAAAGTATCTTCTGAAGCTGTGTAATCAAACCTACCTCAGTGATTTGGTTAACAGCCAGACCAGGTTCTGCCATCTCGGCATCTTTCAGGAAATCGAGGGGCATCCAGACAAGATGGCCCTTGATCCTGTCCAGTTTCTCTCGGACATCCTTGACTGGCTGGTATGGGTCAAACAGGTGGCCCTCTTTGATACCGCCTTGCGGTCTGAAATTATCATATTCCTCAAAGGTGCGGATGTTGTCATCTGGGTCCGTGCGGAAGAGCATCCGATATACTTCCGTGTTCGTTGTGGCTTGCTCTGTCCATGTCTTCCACAAGTCATCGTTCAAGGGATCTGTGACAAAGTCGTTCTCCGGGCCCTCAAGAATCTCATTTAGACACACGTTAGGCGGCTGCGCATTGGGGTGCTTGGAGGCGTCGTAGTCTTGTGCTGGAAGGAGGCCTAGATGCTCCCGCCACAGCTGCCGCCGCAACGTAGCGGCAAGGCGCGAGGCTCTATATGGCTTGCCATCCATCGTACTATCGATGAAGTCTTGATCTTCAACAACAATGGCCAGCTCGCTATCATGATAACCCAGTTGTGACTTTGAGTGTCAGTCCTGGGGCCCAACATTTGTAAAAGGGTAGACTCACCCGATCGTTGATGTTCGCACTGCCGCAGATAGCAATCCTGTCGTCTACGATGCACACTTTACCATGTACGTAGAGCTCTTCCTGGACAAAATTTGCCTTTTCGCTCTCCGGATCTCCTTCCCAGGGCTCCTCAGACATCTTGCCCCCATTGAGCATCGTAGTATGCGCGACAGAGTCCTTGCTTCGATATTGCTCACTTCTGCGCCCTTCCTGCTTCTCCTCGTATCTGCGCAATCTTGCAAGCCTTTCTTCCTTCTCTCGCTCTGCGTCGTCGTAGTTGACTTCGTGTTTGTCGCCTTCTTCGCCAACCACCGGATGAACGCTGTCGCTCATGATAGACTCCGCTATGCCACGCTGGATGTCATGATACGTTACTCCTGCTTCATTCTCTAGTTCTTCTAGAGCAGGAGTCTTGTTGATACGGTCATAAGCGCGCAGATTAAACAGGAACACATGCTCTGATCTAGTTAGACATTTGCTTCTGTGAAGGTTAAGAACTCACCTCTTGGATCAACCCCTTGAGCAGAGATCTGACCGAAAATAGAGTGTTCCCCGCGCAGAATAGATTTGTATTGGTAATCCATGATCGCACGTGTACCGGTAGCTGCACTTTGTCTCAGGTCTCCAGCAAATCCTGGAATAGCGGGAATCACAATGATTACGCGGAACTTCCGACCCTCTTTGCCGGCTCGAACGCAGGCGTCGACAATTGCACGACCAATGGTATTGATAATGGGCTTTTGCTGGTCTCCAGTGGCAGTAACTTGAACACGTCAGCATCTGAAGCACGTAGCGGAGGAGGACTTACTGAAAAACTGGTTTTCGATATAGACCAGATGTTGAGCGTTACGAATAATCTCGCAGTAAGCATTTTGAATACTCTGCTCTGTCAGGATTCCACTGCTCCAATCACCACTGCTGCGAAGAATCTGTCCTCGCACAGTGCCTTGCATACCTCGCGGCTTGGTGTCTAGCGGATTGAGAGGATGTTGAATATAGGCTCCACAAGGATACTTTGGGCGTTGTACCCCGACAAGGTCTTCGTCATCACCGGTGCGGCCCTCCAACAGAAGCCAGTCGACGCCATGATCACGCTTGTACTTATCTCGCTTGACAAAGTTCCATCGAAGAACAAAGTGCTCGGCAATATCATAGACGCAATCACCAATCAACCCCATTGCTACATCATGCCACGGCATTCGACCATAGTCTGCTTTGCTTACTTCATTTGACTGCCAATCTGCAACGCTCTGAAAATCCATGATACGGTTGTTGTTCCAGTCTTGACCTGGGAATATCTCGTCCTTCAAATTGGCTGGATGAACGTCCGCCAGAGGGTGTTGGTGAGCATCCCATCTACCAAAACATAGATCGATACCACCAATGAAGGCGATGGCGTAGTCAATGACAATGAATTTTTCATGATGTGCCTAGAACGTCAGTATAATACTAACTATAACTACTATCCCCGCCGGACTTACCCAGTACAGTGTCATATCTGCCGCATTCTCAAAAATATTATGATCTGGATGCCGTAGAACTTTGATGTTTCCGTGACCAGGAGTTCCTTCGGGGCAGAGACTATGGAGCGCATGTTTCGTATGCGCCGAGTTGCATGTCAGTGCTTGATTGACCTGAATCCTGTTAGTTGTGCCGACTGAACATAGTCAATATGGCTGACAAACCTCCTTGTAAACAATCACATAGATCTTAACGCCCGCTTCAGCGCGGCGCTTGAGCACTTGATCTAGTCTCCATTCTTGCGTCAAATATGGAGGTCTACGAAGAAACAGCTCCGGAGAGAGCCACCAATCCTCGATATAGATTACCTCCTTGGCCTCCTCCAAGGCGACTGAGACAGCCCAGAGGTAGTCCAGCGCGTCGACATACCACTTGACCCTGTTGCCCTCTCTGACCGGAGCAAAGGACTTGTATCTGTGTGACTCGGCAATCGCAGTTCTCTTATTGTCCGTTTCCCGCTCATGCTCCTCATCATGGCGGTGGTTGGGGTTGACGACATTGAAGAATTTTCCAACTTTGTGTTTGAAGTGGTGAGCTTTTGCCTTGGCGTCGTGTAAATGAGAGTCTGTTAGCCATTGTCAGTCGGGGCGGATATCTCATTAAAATACGATCAGACCTTTCAAAGCACTTTCTAGATGGTCAATCTCGTGCTCGAATTTCTCCTTCAATTTCCCCATCTCCAGATGTGACCCACGGAGTTTACTTTCTTGGAATCAAAACAAACGAATCGATCCAAACTGTGCATCCAACTGTGAAAGAACTCTCCGTAGAAGTTCTCTCAATGCTCACTATTCTCGAAGTTCGATCGCGAATAATTCCTTTAAATATCGGGCTCGAAGACATGTTTCATCTCAATTGTCAAAAAGAGGGGGATCGGCGATTACTTGACAGTAGTCCGATACGCGTCGGCCCACAGTGTGACATCATCCATGCTAGCTTTACCAGCCTTACAGCCTTGTGGCCTGACTTTGAGGGACCAAAAGTTAGCCGGCCCCAAGCCCGTTCAAGAGAACACTTACCCACTCTCTCCAGGTGATCGTTGTTGTTCCTGCATCATTACGTCCAGTTCATCAATAAGGATCATCGCAACATCACAAGGCTTTGTTGCTGTCTGTACCATTGTATCTGTGCCTTTGGAAAAATCGAGGTAAGCCCCACCATCAGCCATGGTCGGCAACTAGCCTCCAATCGTCCACTAATATCGTCATTTCATCTAGATAATACTGAGTACTACCTGACTAGTCTACTACAGGAATCCTCGATTTTGTCTGACTAGTTCTCGACTACTTTCGTGGCACCTCTTGGCGCAGGTTTAGGCTGACACGTTCGTACCTGTGTGGTCAACTGAATCTACCATAATGAGGGCAGCTCGAAATATCTACAAAGATGACGTCGATTTCACTTCTCTTGCGTTGCAGTCGCCGGCTTTCGCGAAATAGTCAGTCTTCCCTCTATGATTCATACGCATTTCTGACCCCCTGCTGTCAGTGTGAAGCCAAACGGCCAGCTAGATTTCAGCGATCCCGATGCCGTACGGTAAGGATGTCATAGATATTGCCGGTGTTCGCAGGTAACTGACCGACTTTCTCAGGCAACTGACTAAGAGTCTCTTAAAGAGAGATTTCAATTTGAACGTTGAGATACCTGAGAACAGACTTTGTCCACCGGTATGTTAACTTGGCTCACAAAATGTCTTACATGCTAACCTGATACTCTAGGTACCGAACAGGTGAATAAAACAGATTGCCAATGCAGAAATTGCGTATATTCTGACAGTCAATCAGGCTAAACTATATTCAATGGCTGCAAGACCTTCTTGATACCACAGGCGACCAGTACCGCGATGACTACGACCCGGACCGATTCGTCTTAGGCCTCGATATGTGGGTATCACCTGCTCTGGAGATGTTGCTCTTTCTGACTTTCGTAGTGGAACAGGATGCTGCAGTATATACCCGTTGCTCGGGTGCATGACACGGCCCTTGTGGGATTTCGTTGCTACAGGTAATCAATGTCGGCTCCAATGCACGTCGGATGGATGGAAAGCTCACAAGAATCTAGATATCGACGATGAAAATGTTCGAAACGCCCGAGAAAATGTAATAAATAACGAGCTTGGTGGTCGAATTCGAGTATTCAAGACCGAGCCCAAGGATGATCTCATTCCTCTAGACACAAAGCTCGACGTCCAAAGGTATGTATCCACTGAGATTGTAGAAAGGGCATGTATCTGAAATTCCCAGGCTCGACTTTACCATGTGCAATCCTCCATTCTACGCCTCACGCGAAGAAATGGTAGCTTCAGCAGAAACCAAGGAACGGCCTCCATTTTCAGTAAGTTCAAACTACTGAGGCTAAGAAACGCCTGCTGATCAACGGACACAGGCATGCACAGGAGCCGAAGTCGAGATGGTCACCGAAGGCGGCGAAATAGCTTTTGTCTATCGCATGATCGAGGAAAGCCTTCGTCTTCGTGAGAGGGTTGTCTGG